GGGGGGGGGGGGGGAAGGAAGCACACGTTTCGAGGTACTCGCTATATCCATAGAAAAGTGGGCTGTGATGTCAATGGGCGCATTCATTCGCACCTGTACTCTCTACCCTCGTCCATGAATAACTTCAAGGTGATTTTCCTAAGCCATTCGAGAAAATCATCTCCTCGTTTACCTTCTCGTGCACGATCGCGTTAAAAATTCATTTGTACTCGAGATATCTCGCCTCGATCGACTACCTTCTTAATTCCTTTTAATCAGTTTTATCGCATTGAATTAAACTAGTTCGTTATATCTATGCGCTATATATTTCATTTTGCGTAAGGGAAAACTGGTTTCACAAACAAACGAGTCGTGTATCGAGAAGAGAGGAAAACGAGAATTCGAGAAACATATACATATATATATATATGTATTCGTTTGAAAAAATCTAAGGTATCCGAAGTAAAATATTTCAAAGGTAAATCCATAGGAATGTAGGTTTAAAAATAGAAGTAAAGATTCCATGATGCAACCGTGAACAGGTTGGGAAACGCTGGGATAGAGCGAGCCGCTGCATCGCGAGGTCTGGAAAACGCATTGTTTAGGCTGCGCTTACTCTAGCGGTGGGTGTGTCACGAGCGTGAAATACCGGCCAAGTGACTATCGAGGAAGAGAGGGGGACGAGAGTTCGCTTTGCCTCGACCCATCTCGATCCGAACCAATACACCGATTACACTCCGCTTTCTATCAATTAATCGATACACTTTCAATGGGCTATCGGATAACCGAGACGTTTCGATCAAAAGTTCGAAGAAACGTTCGTTTACGAGAATATTACCGATCGCCAAACTATATATATATATATATATATATATATATATATATATATATATATATATATATATATATGTCTGCTCGTATCTATCTGCTTTTTTCTTTTCTTTTTTTAAACACAAATTCTACGTCGATATCACGTGATTATCGTGTTATTATCCTCGTTTGCGCTATATAATCGCAAAGTGAACGAGTAAAGATGAAAAAAAAAAAAAAAGAAAAGAGTTCGAGTTGTTGCCCTTTGCTGTATCTCTCGATAACGGAGATTTCTCGCACGAAGCATGTTCACCGCGACATCTAACAGTAACCTGCCGAGTTCTCACTACATCGACGAGGCAACATAGGCCGCATAGGTGCAACTCGATACAAGTTGTAGGGAACTGCGATAGATTCTCGCGTTTTCTCGCCGATTTCTCTCTCTCCTCGCGAGTTAATAATAACAAAAGAAGAGACGCAAACACTAGCAACGCGTTTCGAATATTGGTGAAATTCGTGTTGGTTTGATTTTGAGGTTAGGATGAAGATGAAAGTTTGGAATAGAAAAGAGACGAACGATTTTGTTGTTACTCGCCTGCAAATGGGCTTGTTTCCGTCACGTTCATCCGGTGGACCCAGGAAATTGGCGTCGTTCACCGCCGAAGACGTGGATCCCCGCGGCGACCTTGGGCCACCCTCCACTTCTCCGATCAGGACTTCTGTTTGACCATTTTGGAAAGGGCTGCTGGCACGTCGTTCCCCGACTCTTCCGCCTTGCACCGGTGTCTGGAAGAATGAATCACCGTCACACCGAAAATTCACGCGTAATATTTCGCGAATTGAATTGAATTCGTCGAGGAGACTGCAACGTTTTCCATTTCGTCGCAAAAGAGAAGAAGCGAGTATCACGATTCACCAATGCTTAATTTTCAATGGTTAATGTTCGATTCTCCGCAACGTTCGACTTGGCAATTAATTATGCAAGAACGAATGGAGGATGATAAATTATAATTCCGGGAAATGTTTACCTCACGGTTAACCAATAATCGCACGGACATAAGCGTTTACATAAGCGTCGTGAAGGAGAAATCAT